GGACGAGATGTTGTAGCATCATGTAGCTCATAGTGATGGTTGTCGGTTTGAGAATCTCCCAATAGAGTTAATGTGTAATTTTTTTTATGTAACTTATTATGTTGAGTTCTGAGATGAGAAAGTACTTTGTAAAGATTTAAATGATTTAACTCCTTTATTTCTTCACATTCATCTTGAGTACATTGTTATTTATTCGTGTCCTTTCTTTCAGTTATTTGTTATTCAGTTATACTACATACTCGTACATTCAATGTACTAATGTCAGTCGACCTGAATCTTTTAATGATGCTGATATAGGTTATTAGGATCCTCAAAAAGAGTCTTTTGAGATCACATCATCCACTCGTCTACTTATGAGTGAGACCTCCTTGCTTTCAGAGTAATATAGTTTGATGAGTTATAAATAATGGTTCTTTTGATGAGTCATGGGTATTGTCCCGACAATCGTCCATTTGTAGTAGAGGCTTCATAGATAAATTGTTAAGAGAGTCCTCTAGTTTTCAGAGGTTTTCTTTAAAAATTATGTTTAATACTCTGTACAGTGAGAGAGTTTTAAGATTTATTGCACCCTTGATCTAGTATTTATTTCAGTTTGATGTTTATGTATGTTCGAGTTAGTCTTCTGCTTGTAGTCAGTCAGGATGAGGGTTCGCTTGGGGACCAGCAATGGTTCTTGAGTTCCGGCCACATCCAGGGTGTTGGCTCGGGTCGTGACATCTTGGGTTGTGACATCCCTTCAAATGACATGTTAAGTTCAAATTGGGTCGTCTACCTTCCAATAGACATGTTGGGTTATCACATCCCTTCAAGTGACATGTTAAGTTCAAGTTGGGTCATCTGCATTTCAATAGACATGTTGAGTTGTCACCTCCCTATAAGTGGCATGTTAAATTCAAATTGGGTCGTCCACTTTTCAATGAGGCACATTGGGTTGTCACCTCTATCTAAGTGGTATGTTAAATTCAACTTGTGTCGTCCGCCTTTCAATGAGACACATTGGATTGTCACCTCCCTCTAAGTGGCATGTGAAATTCAAACTGGGTCGTGCGCCTTTCAATGAGACATGTTAGGTTGTCACCTCGTTCAAAGTTACATGTTATATTCAAGTGGGGTTGTTTTCTTTTCAAGAGACAAGTTCGGTTGTCACCTCATTCAAAGTGACATATTATTCACATCATCCTCCTTTCAAAGAGGTACACTACCTTCATTGTGAAATTTTGAAAGTAACATCGAAGGTATGTGGATGTTTTGCATTTTACGATCAATCCTTGCCTATTATTTATTATTTTCAACCACGTTGGCAGAAGTAGTTCAAAATCTCTAAAGTCTCATATCATTTTGTTCACAGTTTATCAAACCAAATATGGTTCGTCAACTTTGTTTGACCATGATCGCTTTCATCGATCTTAATCAAACAAAGGGGAAGGTTGTTGACACCAAATTTTGGTCTAATATTTTTTAAAATTAATATTTTTAAGTATTTCATTCATTAAACAGTTCAAAATACATGTTTTACAATTTTAATACAATTTGTTGATAATTATCCTTGTTGCTTAAAATATTAGGATTGTCATCGATTAATTATATTTATATTATTTTGTCACAGTCAATTGAATTCATTCAAATATTAATTAATATTTTATTTAATCATTATTTGTGTTAAATTACATTTTTTACATTCCATTGGTTACATTCGTTTTATTTTTTAATATTCATTTTATCATTACACTTGTTAATATTCATTTTGATATTTTGCATAGTCAAGAAATTCATTCAAATGTGGGTAAGATTTCATACACAGATATTTTATTAATCAGTGGTTTTGGCCCAGGATTTTTAGATAATGGTTGTAACACCCCGGTCATAGAAAGAACTAATTTTATCAAGAACCAATTTGGAAAGAGCTAAATCTAGAATTTTGAAAGTTAGTCTTAAATTGTGAGTTTTGGGTCAACTTCAAATTACCATACTTTCCATACAGGATGAGTAAGGTGGCCCATGAGATATAAAATGAACGATCTTTGAGTCCTACTTCCAACGCCACTGAGTTTGCTAAGTTCCGAGTTCAAAGGAGTGAGACATGCCCATTTAAGTTCAGCTTGTCTAATGATATACTGTGAGTTTAGAGTATATTTGATGCGGTACACTTAGAGTTTGTGTGTGTCTTGGGATATTTTGTTATTAGGAATAATGTTTTGTGTATAATATTTGCAGAAAATAGGCTTGGATGCGGTTGATGAATATGCGAGCTGAAAAGTGCAGAAGTCGCCACCAACAGAGCGACCCACGGACCGTAGGTCCAATGATGGATCGTAGGTGATGCATCATAGGTGGAAGATCAGGGAAGTCTGACCAAGTGTTGAATCACGGAGCAGACGACGGACCGTAACTTGACTAACAATCCGTCCTGCACATCTGTCGATGGTGATCTGGGTGTTGAAGGTTCAAATACCTGATGAATTTTTCTAAGTGTTGAGCAACAGAAGGGGACCTACAGACCATAGGTCAACCCACGATTTGTAGGTCAAAGTGTCGACAGAAACGACATTTCAGCACTTCAATAGTTTATTTCCTTATTTTGTTTCCTGTTTAATTTAGGATTTGTATACTATAAATAGGAGTTGTAATCCTCATTTTTAGGGGTAAGATATTATTTTAAGGTTTTAGTTTTTGTTCTTTTGGAATTAATTTGCAAACTTTGAGCAATTAAGTTTCCAGATTTCGTTTTATAAAATTTTCACATCGAATTTAAATTCAAGATTTCTGGTTTCATCTATTCTAATTGTATGTTCATGAATTCTCTTTTTTTTAATTATGAATTGTGAACTTTGAAGCATGAGTAGCTAAATCCACAACTAGGGTTGTGGGAACCATGATCAATTAACAAAGTATGAATAATAATTAAGTTATTGTTGAATAATTTTTATGCATGTATTGTTGTTAATCCTTTCTCTTAGAAGTTTTTTTAACGACTGCATGTGTTAGAACTCGCCTCATTCATACTTGCGGGACTAACGAGGTAATAAATGAGAAAAGGATTATACAACAGATATTTAGTGCATGCTATCTAATAGTTTGATGTCAATTGGAGTGAGGGTGAAAACTAAACTACATTGATATGACGACTAATCTGGGGTAAAGGTAAGGGTTAGTAAAGCATACACCCGTAGACGAACCAATTTGTGTGGTGAAATTCCTTACTTGAAGGACCAATCACTTAGGGATACCTAACTTACCAACTTTTCATGTAAAATACTACGGAAGAATTACTATTAATAGGATTACCGCGTTAAGAGCTTGTGGGGAACACACGTACCCTAGTTTCTTTCTCTTATTGATAAATCAAAGTTTGAATTTTTTTTACTTGTTACTTAAGCAAGCATTCAAATTTGTTAATTACTTACAAAATCCCCCCTCTTTCATTTTCTGGGAAATAGTTTGACTAAACGGAAATAATAGTGAGTTAAGTTTAAGTCTAAACCATATTCCTAGTGGATTTAACCCAAACCTACAAGTTTGTTCTTTATTTGACAACGATCGCTTATTCTTCTTTAGGGAGGTGTAATTTGAGCGTATCAATTTCGGCACCGTATCCCACAGTCAAAAGAAGCAGGCCATCACCCCTATGTTCTTCCCAGAAGCTTTCAAGGTCTAGTTTCGGTGTCATCATTGTTATTAGAGCTTTTGTATTTGATCACACACTCACTGTTGTTGATTAATTGTAAGGTACGTTGATTTTGCTCGAACTTTGAATATTTCACTGTTTCAATTGAAGTCACAACAATGAACTTGACCTTGGGTTGTTGAATTAATTGTTAAAATATTGAACTTGTAAGCTAGAAACACCCTTGGAATGATGGTATGTGAGTGTGTAGTTATATAAAATCAACTAAATATAAGAACAAGTCTAATTGGATGTTTGGACTTAGGTCAACCTACAGACCATAGGTCGGGGTCCGTGGATCAGTAGCACACACAAATTTGGTCAAGTCTAGAACCACGATTTGGACTATGGTCCATCGTTTCATCGACAAACCATTTTACAGATCTGTGGTTCTCTGTTTGCGACCTAACTTTCCACTACTTGACGACCTAACTTTCCATCGATGGACCATAAGTGCCCACCGTGGGTCACAAGTTCAGCTATTGCCTGAAATTTTTTTGAGTTTTTATCTAGGCTCGAATCTTGTTCTAAAATTATTTCATGAGTTTTATTGCATTGTTTTGGTACTAACTAATCTTGAACGCGTACCATGGCCCCCAAAATATCTTCAGTATACGCCAGGAAGGGCAAGTCCAAGTCTGTTGTCCCATCCCGATGCCTATTGGATGAGGACACTAATCAGGAGTAAATCCAACCTAACACAAGGGTCTCCTCACTACCCCCACACTACCAGGCGATCCCAGCAGGTTGTATTTACCAGTGAAAAGGTCGAGGTCACTGCCCCCTAGTCTGAGGAATGGGCCACACATTCTGGATCGAGTCACAGTTCAACTCTATTTCTAGCGGTAGTCCTGCTTCTTCATCTAAGACCGATAGCTCAAGTGACATCCCGATACCTACTATAGTTGAGCCTGCCCCTAATGCCGATGAGCCGAATAGGTGGTGTGTTGCGGGTCAGTACCAGTTATATGAGAATGGTACTATGCTTAATGAACACCGGAGGATGGCTAGGACCATTACTGAGGAGCACAGGATTCTGACAGGCAGCCTCCACACCGCACCAATTATTGAGGAGCTTTTCCGGAGGAACATATGTGAGTGGACCGCACGGAGGCTCGGGAGTAACAAGGAAGATATGATTAGATAGTTCTATGCCTCATATTTTTCCATCGTCCACAATTCTATATCTAAATAGGCTATGTCCGTAGCCCAGCCTCCACTTAAGTCTACATTGGTGCGGAACTTCTTGGTTGACATCTCCGAGACCACCATTCGCCATTTTATTTACGGCCCAACCCACACTCTATCAATTGATAAAACAGAGTATGACTACAAGATGGGGATCGTACAAAGTGGTGCATTTCAGAATGATGTCGATCAAAGGGAGACACTTTTGAGGTGGATGACATGTCATATTGTTGAGAATAGGCAGAGCACTAAGAGGGTATAGAATCCTACTCTAGCTATCAAAAAGGCGACACTAAGCTTCGTTATGAAGTTCTGATGTTTATTGGTTTAGAATCGACGGTCCCCTACTTAGGCAGACAATGTTGTTAGATGGGACCAGTTCATGATGATAGTGGCCATTACCGCGGGTTTTGAGATTGATTTTACCCGCATCCTGATCGCGGAGATCTACGAGAGGGCCTTCAAGACCACCACCACCTTGCCTTTCCCCTGTTTGATAATCCATCTTTGCTAGGAGGCTTCAGTGCCTATTTGGCATTGTGATAGGTTGCTTGGGGCGACCAAGACATTGGACATCGGCCTTATTCGGAATGATGCCAACCTTGCTACACCCTGGAGGGAGCCATAGGTTGATGTACCACCTTTGGGTGTTGATCTTGCTGCGGATGTGAAGCAGATGCACAGGCTGATTACAGTACCCTTCCATCCCCTACAACAGATGCCTAAGATCTGCCTACTTTAGCCACCAGTCAGGCTCCAAGATCCTCCCGAGCCACTCCCTATTCAGGGTCCACTTCCTTTCCTTTGGCCCAAGTTCAGAATATGGAGACCTAGATGGCCACTTTGCTGCAACATATGAGGCCATGGATGCAACACTCTATTGAGGATTTTCAGGCGAGGATGGATCAGATGATGGATCGGAAAATTCCGGTCTTTCATAAGCACTTGGATTCTTTCGAGTTAGAGTATTGGAGAGGCCTTTTCCTACAATAGATGTGACTACCTTCCAGCCGGAGTTGTGTCACACCCCGAGCCTACACCCTGGGGGGACCGGCACCCGGAGACCATTGCTGGCCGTTCAGATCGCCGACTTGCCAAAATTTTAGAGCCAATACTTTCGGCTAGCCCGACCTAGCTCGCCAAAATTTTAGAGCCAATCATTTTGGTAACCCGCCGACTGGTTCGGCGAGTCTTTCTGCAACTATTTTTCTGTGCTTTTGTTTGAAGGTTTTCTAACTTTTTCGTGATGTTTTGCTGATATGGTAAAGACATATATAGACATACCACCCCGAAAAAGAGTATAAGGTATCACTATCAACGAATGGGGATCAAATCCTCCAAAAAGAGAAAGGCAAGAGCCTCCAACTGGAGGTCAGAGCAGGGGCAAGAAGTCCATTTCTGATAGGGAGACTACTCCCGAGACGTCTCTATTCCTTCATGGGCTCAGGGATTTTATGGAGCTGTGAAGACCTTTTTGGTAGACACACCTGTGGCAGCCCCTAGTGGACCTACTACTTCTGTTGATGTGACTCTGGGCACTGATTCCCAAGATCAAAGTGATGCACTGGGCAGTGATGCCCCGACAGATGGAGTGATTGTTTAGACAAGATTCCCCTTGACCTCCCTCTCTGTCTTGATTTATTTGACCTTTGTATATTTTCTTGCATTTGAGGAAAAATGTTTTATTTGTGATGGGGTGAGGCCCACCTTTTGTGATTTTGTGACTTTCTGGTTTTGTTTATATATTGGGTTTTGAGCCATAATTGTGTTTTTACACTGCTTTTGTGGATGGTTGAGCTTGTGGCTCCTTGTTTTAATTGTAAATGATTTTTGACCCTTCCACGAAAAAAAAATTTGCCACCTCTTGTTTTTGTTGAATGTGGATGTTCTTTTGCAAATTTGAGTATGTATTTTGATCAATACCACTGACTTGAATAGTGCTCATAATCGAACAAAAATGAATGTGCAGCTACGATGAGGACAATTGAAGTTGCATAGTCAATATTTGAACTCTTTGAATCTCGTTGTGACTTGCCAAGTATCGAATTGATTCTCTTGTGATGAACATTGCACACTAGCGAAAGTGTGGAGTCTTGTTTGACTTTGGTGTCAATGCCTTGTGTGATGAGTTTACCGTGAACCATGTGTAATGACACATATAATTTGCCCCTTTGGCCCGGCTGACTAAGTGATGCAATCTATTAATATGATCTTAGGCAACTTTAAAAAGTGTGAAACAATTTGACATTATACCTCTTTTGTGGCCTACCTTGTGAGTCTGTGAACTCCTTTTGAGCACCGTTTGAGCCTTAACCTTTTTCTTGGAAGAAACTTGATGAAAACATAACATTTCTTGATCCAATACCCATAATCCTCATGACTTGTGGTTTGTTTGAATAGGCAACTTAGGCCAAAAGCCTAAGTTGGGGGTGTGGTGAAAAGAGAAGGTAAATCAAGAAATGTAAGAAACTCCCCTTTGACCCATGGTTCTTAAAAAAAATGGAACCCCTCCATAAAATAATTTGATAAACCAGAAAATAATGAAAAAGAAAAAGAAAGGAAAAGTTATGGAATAAAGTTGTGAAAATGCAGAAAGAAATGGGGTTTTCAATAGTCCATATAAAATGAATAATGGGATGACCTGTAAGCATGAATGAAAAAGCGATGAGGAAGAGCAAAGGAAGTGTTGTTCACACCACATTTCATAACGACTATAGCCATTGAGCCTAAATGACCATACATTTGCACTCAGCCCCGTTACAAGCCTTAAAAAAAACCTTTTTGATCTTGAGTGAGCTGCAACAAATGTTGGTTGGAAAATACGGGCAAATCTATGAGTAAAATCATACATTGTGTTCATCTTTGTGAGTGTGAGCGTTGCATTTGATTCCGGAACTTTAAATTGTTGAGCCATTGTGTGCGAATATGGAATCATTCTTTGTGTGAGGGAATTTAAGTACCTTTGTTGAGCTTGACCTTGAATTTGAAGCAAGTATTGTGAGCTTGAGATTCTTTGATATTGGTGAGTCACAACTTGACTATTTGAGTGCACAATTGATTTGTGCATGAGTAAGTTGAATCTTTTTGTGTGCATTCATGATTGAATCTTATGTAACACTGTTTGAGACATCCTTTTTGAACCGTTGAACTTGAGTTTTACTTGAGGAAAAGGAAAAGTTTAAGTTGGGGGTGTTGATTAGTCCACGATTTGGACTCATTTAGGGGTTTATTTTAATAGATTTGTACCAATAACTGATGTAAATTCTTGAATTTTAGGTATTTGGATTGAGGAATAAAGCATGGACACTATTGAGCAAAAAGGAACAAGGCAACTAAAAGAACGAAGGAAAGAAGGCCTGAGGATCGCCTAACCCATTAGGCGAGTCGCCGAACAACTAGGGTCTCACTTAATGTACCAGAGTGCCAAGTCCTGAAGGAGAAAAGCTAGTCGGCGAGAGAAACAAGGAGTCGGTGAGTCGTCGAATGGTTCCGTGATGTAGTGACATATCGCCCAAAGTTACAGAACCTGAAGATGCTGAAGGCAAAAGAAAAATGGTGATTAAAATGACCAAAGGGTGGATCGCAGATTTGATCGGCGATCCCAACTAACTGCCGACTAAACCTCAGCAACACACTTTTCGACAACTATAAATTCTTGTTTAAATTTTTAGCTTAGTATATGATATTTTGTTGAAACATATTATTTTTCAGGTTTGAAGTTTGAGAGCTTAGAACATAATTTAGAGATTAGCTTTGAAGATTTGAAGATTTCCATTTCTAAGAAATTTGAAGTAGGTCTTGAATCTTTTTCATCTTAGACCTTTATAAAGACTATATAAATTGTACCCAGTTGATGGAAACACAACTGGGTAACAATTTTTACCTTTTTACTATGTCTAGCTAAAACCCAATTCTTATAGTGTGATTATGGGTTGATTTAACTGTTGGGTATTGTTAATTGATAGTTTATTTGCTGTTTAAAAGTGATTTCGTTCAGTAATTGTTATTGAATTTAATGGGTTGTAGTTGCAAATACAATCTTAACTTCGTATTTTTGGCTTGATCGAGATAGAGGTTTTAAAACTAAAATTACTGAATCGATGGTCTGTGGATATTGGGTTGCCATGGGTTCAGCTCGAGAGAGTGAATGGACTAAAGCGAAGGTTGTGCTTCATTACTGCTTATTGGTGTTCGAGAGAAACCAATTTGATTCAGGGTAAATTGTTCGAGAGAAAGTTTACCCTGTCTGAACTCTAGCTTATTTACCGATTTATAGCTGCATACTATTAATTTCAATTACCCGATTGTTTACCTTAGCCCATAATCCTATCAAATCCCGAGAATCCCTTCTCCATATTCGTATTTTCATACTATTTGTTGTTTTAGCTAATAATACAAAAAAATCCCCCTTGATATTTGACACTTGTGTCACCCTTAATTTAAACCATGTTTTTATTCGTAAATGTTTTTAGCTATGATTGACTAGAGCATATTCTTATTTGCCTATTGATTCTTGATTATGAACCACCTTCTTGGGACTCCACCCCAACTCACTTAGTTGGGTTATATTACTACTCATGATCGTTGGGACTTAGTATTGGATGAAGTGTCCTGATACGTGAAATAACTAAGTTTACTCCAAACTGAATACATATGAAGCTAAAATACACTAAATACTGAATAACTCAAAATACTGACATGCTAACTGTGAATGCAACATTTATAAACTGAGAATGTGACATTTGAAATCTGGAGCCTAACCTAGCAAGTATAATTTATGAACTAAGAGAAATTACACAATCTACGGTTCTGATTTTTATACAAGGAATTAAGCAACGTTTCAAAGAAAACATGATATTTAGACTGTGGATCCTATAGCAACTGAAATCACAAAAAATTTCCAAGATTTTACAAACCCTAGGTTTAAACAAGCTATGTAGAATCAAGGAACCTATTGGATTTTAGGGACCTAGTAGATGAAAGGAACGCACTAGTGAAATCCCACATGCATGGTGATGAAATCTATGGGGAAATCCTTTAGATTTCAAGGCAGAACTTTGAAGAACGCTGCTGCTTGTTCTTGGGAGGATTGGTTGACTTTCCCCCTTCTCTTTGCTCCAAGTTTGGATGATTTTTGGAGAATGACGGTTCTGGGTATGTCTGACTAGGCTATTAGGCTTAGATTCAGTAAAGCTACATAATTTATGCATCAAACGACATAGTTTAAGTGCCCAATGCATAGGGAAAAGGATCGAAGTGACCAAGACTTTAAACTGACGACTGCAATCCACTACAAGACTGACGGGCAGTCGTTTGAACTACCAACCATCGTTTGGGGTCATCGTTCATGCTCTCCCTATAGGGCTTCACTAAAATGAGCATAACTTTTTACTCTGAGCTTGGATTTTAGCAAACTCAGTAGTGTTGGAAAGAGGATTTAATTATCTTTAATTTGATAGTTTAAGGGCCACCTAATTAATTTTGTGCTAAAAGATATTATTGTTTGAAGTTGACCCAACAAACATTTTCGTCCAATTGGCTGATGACCCTCACTTATGGTCAGACCTACGGTCCGTACTGGTGGATCGTGGGTGGGATCAGAGACCATAAAATTTTGGACCTTAACGACCGAACCCCACCTAGTGTCCTAGTTCTACCTACTGTCCGTGGGTGGTTCTATTAGTACTGACACAATTTTTCTGAAAACTAGGATTTTCTTCATTTTGAGATCTCAGGTGTTACATTATATCCCCCTTGGGAACATTATTCCTCGAATGAAGGCTAAACAACGTGAGTATGGAGGGAAGGAGTTGCAATACCTACCACTAAGTACTACACTTTGATATCTAATTGAGTTGATTTCTAAGAACATGCTAATATGCTGAAATGCAAGAATAACTGAGGGAACAAGATAATGAGACTGAATTACACAGGAGTAAACTCAGAGACTGGAGAGGAACTATTACCTCAAGCTGAAATGGAATCGGAAAGAAAGAGTTGAGGATACTTGGACATCATGGTTGTTTCTGCTTTCCATGTAGCTCCCTCTATGGACTGACTCCTCCACAAAACCTTCACTGAAGCGACTTCCTTATTTCTCAACCAATGGTAAAGAATTTGAACTGACACCTCTTGATAAGTTAGGCTATCCTTCACAGCCACACTCTCTAATGGTACTATTGATGCATGATTAGCCAAACACTTCTTCAACAAGGAAATGTGAATCACTAGATGAATTGCTGCTAGTTTTGCTGGCAACTCTAACTCATAAGCCACATTACCAACTCTTTTTAGGATTCTGTAAGGACCTACTTATATAGGACTGACTTTCCCTTTCTTGCCAAATCGCATCACCCCCTTCATAGGTGACACTTTCAGGAAAACCCAATCATTGATTTCAAACTCTAAGTCCCGTTTCCTCACATCTGCATAGGACTTCTGATGACTCTGGGCTGTCTTTAGTCTATCTCTGATGAGTTGAACTTTATCCATAGCCTCATGAACCGAATTTGGCTAAATTAAGGCTGTTTCACCTACTTCAAACTAACAAATTGGGGACCTACATCTACGCCAATATAGTGCTTCATACAT